AATCGCACGCCCTACCAAAATGTGCCCAAAAATGTTGCTCGTTTGGAACATTTGGGGGGTTTCCGGGCAACGGGAACCCCCCCCCCCCCCTGCGTACGCGCCTGAGCATAGCATGAAACACACAGAGAGGTAATCGAAAATTCCGACTTCTGATGGGTAATATGCACAAGATAACAGGGAGCACCAGCTATAGTTCTACATCTGTGCAAAGCAAAGAGAACATCTTTCAGAGATCCTGAACACGATATGGCACTAACCCGAAAGGACGGAAACTCAATCTCCGGAGCCTGGACAAATGTCCACAGGCATATAGCACACACACGCACGCACGCAAGCAGACGCACGCACGCACGCACGCACGCACACACCCACACAAACACACACACACACACACACACACACAGGAAAAGCAAAAGTAAAAGAGCACACAGAGATGCTGGACAAAAATTGGCACCTTGAGTCATGCCTCACTCTTTGCATGCTGCTAAACATCCAACTATACAGCAAATGTCCTGGTCATACATGTACATAATAGCAACCACACAAGTAATAACTAATAAGTAATACCAAGAGTAGATAAACAAGAGTGTGCAACTCCGCATCTCTTCTGCACAATCTGCAGATACCCCCGCCTGCGGTGGAATTTTTTGTTGACGTCACCTTTTTTCAGAAAAACGTGCATTTTGCCGCAGAGCAGTGTGAGAGCACGTGCTGGGCACCGACCTTGTAATGTAAAGCCCAGCCAAGTGCACGAGGTAAAACTTTCCGAAAGACTCTCAGGGCGTGCGTCTTAGAAAAGATTACGTCAATAAAAAATTACGCCGCGGGCCAACCCATTCCGGAGTTGCACACTCTTGTTTATCTACTCTTGGTAATACTACTACAATACTGTTGGGCACCGAAGAACAGGCCGCCGAAGAACGGTCAGGCTAAAATTTCACCAATTTTTAAGAACGGTCTAGACTGGATCTTTTTGCAGACACAAAGAACCAGATGATTACATAATAGCATAGCATGAAACACACAGAGAGGTAATCGAAAATTCTGACTTCTGATGGGTAATAGGCACAAGATAACAGGGAGCACCAGCTATAGTTCTACATCTGTGCAAAGCAAAGAGAACATCTTTCCGAGATCCTGAACACGATATGGCACTAACCCAAAAGGACGGAAACTCAATCTCCGGAGCCTGGACAATGTCCACAGGCATATAGCACACACACGCACGCACGCAAGCAGACGCACGCACGCACGCACGCACACACCTGTCCTGTCCTGTAGAGCCACTGCCACAGGGGTCACGTGGGCCCCGGAGGGGCATCAGAGAGGAAGATGGAGCACGCAGCCTGATGACGCCGGAGATGGTGGGGCAAACGGAACCGGCGAGAACACACGCATACATGGCTGAACGAATTACGCTGCTGGGCAGTCGGGCGCGGGCCAGTCCTCCAGCACCGGTGACGACCGCGGCCTTGCACAGACCGAAAGCAGCGGCACACACAGCACAGTGCGCAGCACAGCAAGCATCCTGCACATAGACTTGCCGGGGCTCGGGAGGCTGAGGCTGAGGTGCGGAACAGCGGTGAACAGCTAGACCACCCTTGCTGCGAAACCAACGCCCACAATCTCCACAGTGGCAAGCCCCTCGCTGCTCAGCAATCGGCTTTGCCCGCTCAACCACACATTTGTGGCGAGCACGATCTCCAGGGCGCGAGAATGACCGATTGCAATCCGCACATACCACTGGGTCAGGCTGAGGCACATTCTCCACAGGCTCGGCGTACATAGTCCGCCAGTCAGCACAGGACTCACAGGCGATAGGGTACCATTCCTTGGTGAGGCCACGAACTCTTAAGTCGGAGACAACGCAATCCTTCCAGCGCTTGCGAGGGCCATGTGCTGGGCGACGTGTGAGAAGTGAGCCAAACAGGATCTGTCTCGGCATCCGGCTACTGTCCATTCGAGCAACATGGCCCAGCCACTCTAGGCGACGCTGTGCGACCTTCACGCAGATGGTATCAGAGTCACCCCACATCTCCAACAGTTGGGCGTTGGTCGTGTGATTATTCCAGCAATCTCTGCGGGACACACCCAGGATGGAACGGATGCACCGCCTATGAAAGACTGACAAACGTCTGAGATCGTGTTGCAATGGTGTCCAACACTCTGACCCATAGAGGAGGAGCGACAGCACACATGCATTAAACACACACCTCTTGATATGCAAATCAAGGTCAGGATTGCTGAAGATGGTTCCTTGCAAGGCGCCACAAGCACGAGAGGCATGCGCAATCCGAGCAGTGATGTTCTGTGTCGACCGGCCACCGCGATGAATGAGAGATCCCAGATACCGGAACTCCGAAACACACTCAATGACCGTGCCAGCTAGCTCGATTGGAGCGCAGTCTCCAGGCGAAACATCCCTACCTGCAACCAAGAACTGTGTCTTGGTAGCGCTAACTTTAAGCCCAAACTCAGCTGCGGTCATGTCAAACACTGCAAGTGCCATCTCCGCCCCTGCACGAGTCGTCGCGAAAAGTGCTGAGTCGTCTGGAAACTGTGACTCAGTGGCAATGGCAACCGGATCCGTCCTGGTAGGCTTGCGGTAAAGGTTATTGTCACCATCACAATGCCGGAACTCAAAACCAACACCGGGTACATCTCGGACTCGTCGCTGCCACACAGTCACCACCGCCCACATGAAGATGTTAAACAGCACAGGTGCCATGGTGCACCCCTGACGGAGACCATTCGTGACGCGGATAGGGTCAGTTGTCGTGTTCTCTACCCGAACCACCGCCGACATGTCAGTGTGAAAGGAACGGATCACGGCAAGCATGGGAGCAGGGATACCCGCTCGGGATAAGACTTCCCACAGGCAATCCCGAGGCACGGAATCATAGGCTTTCTTGAGGTCTATAAATACAAAAAAGCCTTTGCAGTCGTGCTCAATGGTCTTCTCGAGGAACTGCCGAACACTGAAAACCATATCTGTACAAGATCGGCCACGCCTGAAGCCACACTGAGACTCTGGGAGAAAATCTGCAGCCACGGCCTGGAGACGAGTCTGGATGACGCTCGCCAGAACCTTGCCCACAACATCCAGCAGTGAGATATTATTTATTCCCGTAGCTATGCAGAAGACGTTACTTCAGTAACGTCTGGCGCTAGCCAGGGTCCACACAGCTTTAATTTGGTGTTTGTTTGTTTGTTTGTTTGTTTGTTTGTGTCACGCCTGGCGTTATCCCGTATCTGTCCCGTACCGTTTCGCACAGCTGGCCATTTGCTGGCTCCCGTATCTGTCCCGTACCGTACCGTACCATCAAACACAGCTGGCTACAAACAGCTCGCCACAATATTATGTACATGTATACGACTCCCTGTGTGTTGCAACTGTGCTTGAAGGGGACGGTTGCACTTTTTGTAGCTTCGCTTTATCTGAGTTTTCAGTCGTTCCTCTTACTAGTCTTGCCAAGGGGGTGGCTCTGGGTCCACCAGAGTTGCCCCAGGCGTATTTCTGAATTTGCTGGGGCGAGAGTTCCGCGACGCGGTCGCCAAGGCAGTGTCTTTTCAGTCACGACCGTTGTCGTCCTCGTCTCTCCATTCGCGGTGGTGTAGCTGACCCCCGAATGGTTCCAAACTGCGAAGCTCGGAGGAGTACAGTGGTGGCAGAGGCATGAGCTGTGAGTGGAGACGGTTACTGGAGATGGATGGTGATGCAGGGAGAAGAGTTACGCTGCCTGACGCCGTGTGGGAAATTGTTTGAACCTGCAATTTCAGTTCGAGCGCGGTGGACTTCTAGATGATGTGTCCTCATGGCTGTTTTTCAACGCTTGGCCTATCGCTGATATCCCTGCGTGGGATGTTCTTCCAGTGGAGTCCAGGTGGGACTTCGGGTGCCCACTCTCCATCACCTGGTTGATTGTTTCGGAACTGCAAAAATAATTATTGTTTCCCATTTTGTGCGCATCTCTTGTCATCTCTCTTTTCTATACGTCGCACACCAGATGTACTACTATCGCCGTCTTTCTCTTGCTTTCTCTCCCTGCTTGCTATTTTTTTGTTTCTGTTGCCACTGTCCCTCATCATACCCATGCTTGGGTGGTGGGCGGCGTGACCCGTTAGGGTAGCTGCCAATACAGTACGACTCCCTGATGTATAGAGAGACTTTCTGGAAAGAAATAGGGAGACTAGGAGGAAATGGAATTAGAATGGATGTTAGTTGCCGAATAGGTGATAGGATGCGTCAGCAAAAACATACTTTGGAAGAGAGATCCCGTCGTCTCCAAAATAGGCGTGAACGGGCGAGTCAGCGCCGGTCACAGGAAACGTCGGCAGAGTGATCCCGTCGACTCCAGAACGCGCGTGCTCGGCACAGTCAGCGCCTCTCTCTCTCTCTCTCTCTCTCTCTCTCTCTCCCTCTCTCTCTCTTTCTCTCTCTCTCTCTCTTTCTCTCTCTCTCTTGTTGTTGTTGCTGCTGCTGTGGTGTTGCCGTTGCTGTTGTTGTTGGTCTGTTGTTGTTGTCGCTGTCGCTGTTGTTGTTGCCGTTGCTTTTGTTGTTGTTGTTGGTCATTTTGTAAGAGCTTGGACAGTTCACTTGTCCAGGAAATAAAGCAGACTCTCTCTCTCTCTCTCTCTCTCTCTCTCTCTCTCTCTCTCTTTCTCTCTCTATCTATATCTATCTCTCCTCTCTCATCATGCATGCGTCACACTCTCATGGAAATTTTTATTTTATTTTTTATTTTATAAGATTGCATGCTTCACACTCTCATGTAATATTTCTTTCCTTTCTTCGTCTTTTTGTGAGAGCTTGGACAATCCACTTGTCCAGGCAAGAAGGCAGCAATGCCTGTTCATTGTGGCGAAGTAAAATAAAATATACCAACCAACCAACCTTCCCAGGAAACATTTCCATCAGTTCCCACAACGATGAGCTTAGTAACAAAGCATAGCGTAGGGCCCTGAGGTTCCAAGCTCTCTCGTTATTATTCTCGTATCCGTCCCGAATGAGACTCACGATGGCAGAATTAACTGTGAGCATGTGTGTGTGAGAGTGGGAGAACGAAATGAAAAAGAAAAGAAGAGTCTTGTAATAAAGGTCAAATTTAAGAAGAGCAGTACTAGACTAAATGGCTGAGCAGATGTTACTCCATTGTTTTCTGTCGCGGGCATAGGTGCCGAGATCACGAAGGCAGCTGGGCTTAAAAATGCAGATAGGTGTGATGCGGACGTCTCGCTGGAGACTTGTGGTGAGGCAAGAGCGGGATGCACCTATTCGAAAGGGCTGACTGGTAGCAAGTGAGATACCCCGCCAATTATCACAGCGAGATAAATCCCTTTCTTTGGGATGGGGACCAACGTGGCGTCCACCCACTCCTGCGGGACCACCCCAGCACGCCACACATCGCCAAACAGCTCCACAAGCTTGGCGGTGAGGTCAGGGCCACCCACCCCTCCATGAGCACCTCAGGGAGGATGCCAGAGGCTCCAGCGGACTTGCCGTTCTGTAGGCGGGAGATAGCGCGGCTGACGCACACACGCACACACACACACAAACACACACACACACTTACACACAGGAAAAGCAAAAGTAAAAGAGCACACAGAGATGCTGGACAAAAATTGGCACCTTGAGTCATGCCTCACTCTTTGCATGCTGCTAAACATCCAACTATACAGCAAATGTCCTGGTCATACATGTACATAATAGCAACCACACAAGTAATAACTAATAAGTAATACCAAGAGTAGATAAACAAGAGTAGGCACTTCACCCCATTTTTGAAATCGGGTTTTTTCCAGGTTTATCATCGGTAATCGATGGTGGTGGGTATCACAAGGTCACACAGAAAATTTTATTGAAATCCACAGTGATACCACTCAGATATGAAGGGTTGAAGATAGGCAGTTGCATAAGGCGAAATCAATAAAATTTGTGGCACCAACAGCATCTCCGAAGTATTATCAGTGGATATAGTCACAAAACATCAGAGTGTTTTTTTCAAGCACACATCACTCACTTACACCAACAACCATGTATGGATCGAAACAATACAGATCAAAGTTCAGAATAGTCAAGAATATGGCAATTGTGACCGCAATCACTATAGCAACTCCATAGCAACCCATAGCAACGCCATAGTAACCCATAGTAACAGCTTCAGTTTGCTGTGAAATGAACTGATAACGACATACTGGCAGGCTCCTGCGGGTACTAAAGCGTAAGAGCTATAAAGACATTCTTCTGGCACAAAAACAACAGAGAACTTCCACGTTGTACGCCGTACACAGCAAAGTGGAGGGTAAGTGCGCGCGCGCGCGCGCGCGAATTACTGCACAGGACATTCGTGCCCACAGTCATGCCACTTCAAGTGATTCCAAGTTGGCAAGAAGTTCCTCAGGACCTCTGTTGGTAGCTTCTTTCCATGGTGTGATATCTGCCTCCCTCTCCTTCAACTGCGCCATGCAGCAGTCATGAATTGCCTGCTGGTGAGCTTTGAAATTTCGGCGAAGCGTGCCTGGCTGCGTATATCAAAGCATCCCCTCATCGGAGGGTTTCTCCGGCAGCCACTGTGCCTTTTGATTGTTCGTAAACATCAGTAGGCCTTCCAGCGCAACCGTGTCAAAATTTGGCTCTCAGTACACTTTGAGAATTCGCCCAGGTAGGACGACGCATCGTCGTTCTCCTCCGCCTAAAGCGCATACTTCTCAGTGCCTACGTCCATAATGTCTCCTTGCGCAGCGATGCGCAAACCCTGGTAAACAAGAACTCTACTGTTTCCGAATGGAAAGACGACGCTGACGACGATAAGCAACGTTTCAAACGCGAGCAAACAACAGTTCTTTGTGAAAAAACACTTTGCTGGAAGTATACGTGATCTACAACTCGCAAAAATGTACGCACTATGACGTATGCGGGATCTACCGAAAGCTGAACGTCAGAGCAACACGATGCGCCCAACTATCAGCTTGTACAACGAAGCATAGCGCGTACCTGTGCAGTTTTGCGCATGCACTTGACTGGTGCCACGCAAGTACGCACTCTCACCTTAGCAAATTTTGACAGGTCCTGTCACGTGACTGAAGTGCCTAACAAGAGTGTGCAACTCCGCATCTCTTCTGCACAATCTGCAGATACCCCCGCCCGCGGCGGAATTTTTTTGTTGACGTCACCTTTTTTCAGAAAAACGTGCATTTTGCCGCAGAGCAGTGTGAGAGCACGTGCTGGGCACCGACCTTGTAATGTAAAGCCCAGCCAAGTGCACGAGGTAAAACTTTCCGGAAGACTCTCAGGGCGTGCGTCTTAGAAAAGATTACGTCAATAAAACATTACGCCGCGGGCCAACCCATTCCGGAGTTGCACACTCTTGTTTATCTACTCTTGGTAATACTACTACAATACTGTTGGGCACCGAAGAACAGAGCGCCGAAGAACGGTCAGGCTAAAATTTCACCAATTTTTAAGAACGGTCTAGACTGGATCTTTTTGCAGATAAGGACGGAAACTGCACGCACGCACGCACCCACCCACACAAAGGAATAAGAAAAAGCGTTCAAAGCTGCAAGTGCCTCGTCATTTCATAATAATTAAACGAAAAGACATGCTTCTTATGAACCTGACACAAGAAGACTAACACACACCCAAATCATATCCCTTCCACTGACAACTACTACATGTAATTGTGACCAAGCAGAACAAAACAGATATCAAAGAACCGCACCACTTCTAGTTACTTACCCGTAGTCGTATCACTGCTGAGGTCTGCAAAATTCACCGCAGCCCACAATTTAGCCGATGATGCCAGTCATGGAGCACAAGGAAGAATATGAAAGTCATTGGTAAGCAGCAAACCTTACAACAGCATAATATGCATGCACATGTAAATATGCTTCTGATTTACAGTCGTTGACAAAGAAATGCAGCCTAGAGAGCGTGTGTGGGCAGGCGTGTGTTTACCGCCATATTGTCAGGTGTGTCTTTACACCATAATTAGCAACCATAAGTACAGCTGCAGTGGTGTCTTCGACTTCATTTTTCCGAAACGAAAAGATATGCTTCTTATCAGCTTGACACAAGAAGACAAACACACACCTATATAAGGTCCCTTCCTCTGACAGCTACTAATTGTGACCAAGCAGAACAAGACAGATATCAAAGAACCGCATCACTTCTAGTTACTTACCCGTCGTCTTTCCTCTGAGAACTGCAAAATTCACCGCAGGCCACAATTTAGCCGGTGATTAAAGTCATGGAACACAAAAAGAAGAAGATGAAAGTCATTGCTAAGCAACAAACCTTACAACACTACAATATGTATATACATGTAGGTATGCCTATGACATCGTCGTGGACAAAGAAATCAAACCCGTGAGCCGAAATCAGCGCCAAAGCCCTTACGGCTCCTGTGGTCGTCAGAGAGGTTCTTGGACAGTGCATGATGTACAGTAAAACCTGTAACTAAAGACCACCCTGACTAGCGACCAGTCTGGTACTACAGACCACCGTGACTAGCGACCAGTCTGGTACTACAGACCACCGTGACTAGCGACCAGTCTGGTACTACAGAACACCGTGACAAGCGACCAGTCTGGTACTACAGACCACCCTGACTAGCGACCAGCCTGGTACTACAGACCACTGTGACTAGCGACCAATCTGGTACTACAGACCACTGTGACTAGCGACCAGTCTGGTACTACAGACCACTTTGCTAGGCACGGACAGTCTGACATTCATATTATGGTTGTGCCGTGCAAACCTCTAACCAAGGACCACCTGCCACTAAAGACCGCTTTCTCTGGCCCCAAGCGGTGGTCGTTAGTCACAGGTTTTACTGTAATTAAAATGGATATACAGTCAAACCTCGTCAGGACGAACACTGATAAGGCGAACTTTCCATTAATACAAACTAAGGCTAATCCTATGGTTGACCAGGCATCAATTCAAGTCAAAATTATTCGTTTTCGACGAACGTCTGTACAGCGAACTTTCACGAAGACGAGCTATTTTCAAGTGTGATTTGAACAATGTCAGTGTGGTCATGTACATGTAGTACGAACTTTCGGTTCACAAGCGTGCGCGTGCGCTGGCTGCCTTTTTCTTCTTTTTTTTCAATAGACGAGGCCATATTGTACGTACAGTGCAAATTGTTTTCAAGCGTGTTTTGAACAAATAGTCAGTGTCTTATACGAACTTTCGACACAGTCGTGATTCATTGCACTTTGTCATTGCACTTACCTGTTTCTGGCTTATGGTAAGAATAACATGCTTCCCATGTACCACTCCGCGTCATCGAAATTGTCGCAGTTTGACTTTTGATGTAAAACGCGGTATTTACTCACCAGCACTCGTACCAGAGGCAAGGAATCGGACATAGGCGATAGTCATCAGTGTAGGGTGACGGCAAAGTTCTATTTTCTGTCATTGGAAACTCGAATGTTTGAACTAGACGCAATTTCTTCGCTGATGTCGCTGCGCTGGTAATTTCGACTCGCTGAGATCAGTCAGGCGTTGCAGCCTGCACATTTCTCGTGCTTATGGCCATTCACTCAAGCCCCATCACTGTTTTACCTTAGCTGGGGTGAGAATGACTTCGTGGAACAAGTGGCATCGCTTGGAGAAACATCGAGGGGTCGGCAAACTAAATGCCTGCAACAGCGATAAAATTTGTCGCTCTGGCTGAGACACTCAGTACTAGTACATGATTGTACCTGCAAGAGCCGTGTAGACTCTACAGACTACACGTAGTGCTAGTGATGCACGCGCAGATGCCGTACCATGGTATACCAGTGATGCTGAAAAAGAGAGCGCGCTGGACGTGATACTAAACTTACCTGCATGAGCTGTGGGCATGCCGCGGCTAAAAAAAGTTCATTTCAAGATCGAGGTGATTCCGAGGTGATTCCGCCGACGGTAATCAACCGACCTCGCAACGATCGTGTATTCTTACTAGGCTTCGTTGGTGGTGAAGTAGAAATCATCCAGAGCTAGCCGACGACAAGCATAGCAGCTCTTGTCCTGTGGAGAAAGTCAAAGCGTTTGAGATGAGGCGCGAACAACTTTCAACCTTCCTTGAAATATTTCGGAACGATATTTTTGCGTCCATTGACATCAGCGACGACGAGGACTTCATCTCTGCATGAAAACTCTCAGTCCAATTGTCCTGGAACGTTACTCTAGTCTTCAGACTATCATACTGTGTAATAAGTTTTGAATGGCTTAGTTTATGGAGTTGTCAGTAACAAGTGACAAGTCACTAGTCAAACTGCGACAATTTCGATGACGCGGAGGAAGTTAATACAATTATGATTATGCATATCGATTTTTTTCAGATCTGGATAAGAAGAACTCCCGATAAGACAAACAAATTTGTTCAGTCCCTTGAAGTTCGTCCTAACGAGGTTTGACTGTACTGCGCTACTTTTGAACAGTTTGGTTGGATTTCTTTGGCCACGACTGTACTTACAGTGTTCTACCAAAGAAACCAAACACTAGCATTCACTAATAAACCCACCTTGGATACATGTGTGCATTACGCAATAAAAATCAACAAGCAACTCCATCTGCGTAGTCACCACATTCAACCATAGAACAAAATTTAAGGTTCACAGGCATATAGCACGCACGCATGCGCGGGCACGCACACAAACACACACACGTACACACGTGCACACACACACACACACACATACACACACACACAAACACACACACACACGCCCACACGCACATACAGACAAAAACATCACACACATACACACACACACACACCATTGGACCATTGGACGCCCATCGCCGGAGGCGATGATAGCGATGCTACGGCAGAAGCCATAGCAGCTTGTGCTGGTATTGTACCATTCAACAGCTTGCAAGGCTGAAGAATTGACCGCCACTATTCAGCCTGGTCTACACCACACAGCTATGAAGTGGCTTTTTCTGGCCAGTGAATCCCTACTTTTTGGTCTTTTTTCCATACACACACACACACACACACACACATACACACACCTGTCCTGTCCTGTCCTGTTGAACCACTGCCATGAAGGTTACGTGGGCCCCGGAGGGGCAGCTGAGAGAGAGGAGGAGCACACAGCCCTGCGACGATCCAGGTGATACGGTAAGCGAAATCGGCGGGAGCAGGCGCAAACACATGTGAAACCCTGACGGTCCTGAACGGTCGGACGACTACAAATCCGTGAGCAGCGATGACGGGCGCGGCCATGTGTAGACGCAAAGCAGCGGTCACAAGCCCGGCAGTGAGCGACGCAGCACAGCGGAGAAGCAGGCAGCGGCAGGGGCGCACCGACTGCTGACTGGGGGTAAGTACACTTGTGCCTTGCCAGACCTCCACGGGACCTCAGCCAACGGCCACACTCTCCACACTGACACGCACCCTTTTGCTCCGCAACCGGCTTCGCACGTTCAATCTTACACTTGTGGCAAGCGCGATCACTGGGGCGTGCAAACTGTCGGTCGCAGGTGTAGCATGTGACGGGAGGGGGAGGATGCTGGGCATCTACCGGTGCTGAGTACGCCAAGCGCCAGGTGGAACGCGACTCGCATTCAGCTCGCCATTCCCCCTCGAGACCGCGAGAACGAAGGTCAGACATAATACAATCCTTCCAGCGCCGACGCGGGCCATGAGCTGGGCGACGCGACGGAAGCGTGCCAAAGAGAACTTGCTTCGGCAGAAGGTGGTCCTCCATCCGAGCAACATGTCCGAGCCATTCAAGGCGGCGGTGCTCCACCTTCGTGCGGATGGTGTCGGGATCACCCCACCTCACACGTAGTTGGTGATTGGTGATGTGGTCATCCCAGCATTCTTGGCGAGACACTCCCATGATCGAGAGGATGCATCGGTGGGGGAAGAGAGAGAGAGAGAGCCACTGTAAATCCCGTTGAAAAGGCGTCCTACACTCCGAACCGTACAGCAAGAGCGACAAGACACAGGCGTTGAACACACACCTCTTGATGTGAAGGTCCAGGTGCTTGTTGCCAAAGATGGACTTTTGCAAAGCGCCACACGCTTGGGAGGCATTCGCAATGCGGGAGTCAACATTGCAGGATGAACGGCCGCCGCTGTGAATTACCGAACCCAGATACTTGAATTCGGTGACACAGACAATGTCGACACCAGCTAGACTGAGGGGTACGCGGTCAGCAGCAGACACATCAGCACCAGCAACCAAAAACTTTGTCTTTGTGGCACTAACCGCGAGGCCAAATTCGGACGCCGTGTTGTCAAAGGTTGTCAATGCGACCTCGGCACTAGCTCTTGATGTAGCGAACAATGCCGAGTCATCAGCGAACTGAGCCTCCATAGCGGTAGTGACAGGGTCGGTGCGGTGAGACTTCCTGTAGAGGTTACCAGTGTCAGAATTGTGCGAGAAACTGAAACCAATACCAGGTACACCACTAATGCGCTGCTGCCATCCGCTTACCACGGCCCACATGAAAATGTTCAACAGCACGGGCGACATTGAGCAACCCTGGCGTAGACCATTATGAACGCTAAAGGGATCTACAATTGTACCACTCAGGCGTAATGCAGCAGCCATTGAGGTGTGAAACGACTTGATCACCGCCAGCATGGGCGACGGGACGCCAGCTCTAGCCAATACCTGCCAGAGACACTCACGAGGAACCGAGTCGTAAGCTTTGCGCAAATCGATGAAGACAAAGAAACCCTTGGTTTGATGTTCTACTGTCTTCTCCAAGAGTTGGCGGATGGTAAATATCATGTCGGAGCATGATCTGCCACGGCGGAAGCCACACTGCGATTCCGGGAGGAATTCTTTGGCCAGAGACTGGAGACGTAGCTGAATGACTCCTGCTAGTGCCTTGCCTACAACATCCAGCAGAGATATCCCACGCCAGTTATCGCACCTGGAGAGGTCACCTTTTTTGGGTATTGGCACCAGCATGGCATCTAGCCACTCCTGAGGGACACGACCCTCACGCCACACATCGCCAAACAGCCCATGAAGGCTGAGGAACAGCTGCACGCCACCAAACTTCAGCATTTCAGGGAGGATACCAGAGGCTCCAGCCGATTTCCCGCTCTGGAGCTTGCCAATAGCACGACGAACTTCCTCCAGTGTCGGGGGACTAGCGAGATCTTGGTCTACCGGCAGTTGTGGGGTGGAGTCCAGCGCACTAGGTGACCATAATTATGCTATGGATGTTCAGCACTCCAGAGAAATGTCTCCGAAAACGGTGACCCTGCTCTTCTGGTGACGTGCATAGATTTCCGTTTTCACCCACGACTGCGGTTGTCCGAGCCGGTTTCAAACCTTCCCCTGCAGCTTGGAGATCGTGGATGCACTTCCGTATAATAGCTCCGTTGAAACGGGACTCTGTAGCCGCTAGCGCCTTGCTTTCTATCCACTTCACACGGGCTGCATCAATAGCCGAGCGTGCCTTCGACCTGGCAGATTTAAATGTGCTGAAGGATGGATGATCGCGGTGCTGTCCATGCTGGATCCACTCCTTGTATGCAGCGTTCCGATCCCCAAGGAGTGGTTGGATCTCTGGAGTTGCTCCCCATACCAGAGTTGACACTTTTCCCGCCGACCTGACCTGACACTTGACTGACTCACGACTGCCATCGAGGGCACACAAGAAGTCCATCGAACTTTCCACTCGGCATCGCTCCCTGCTCTATACCTATGGTGTTCACGAGGTGTTCGTCGCGCTGGAAATCGAGCGTCTCTGTAAATTTATCATTATTATTATTCAAGCGGTACTGGTTTGGAGGCGGTGAAAAAACAGTTTCATAATCAGTATTTGCATGCAACGACTCAAATTCACACAATTCAGTAGACACTTCCTTTCTATCAAACGTTTTCTTTCCCTTCTCTTCAGGATACTGTAAAACCGGAAAGTCTAGCGAGTCACAAAGTCTAACGTTTTAACGATCATTTATTTTCCGTTAATGGAAAAAACCGTTATCGATAGATGTCTGTGTAAAGATGCACATGCAGATTGGTCGCCAGCTAGCCATCGTTAAACTTTCTGAACGTTATCATGCCAAAAATACAAAAACGTTAAACTTTTTGGTCGTTAGACTTTCCGGTTTTACAGTAGTACAGGGAATGTTATAAATTTGGAAAAAAAAAACAACACACATAACTATATAGAGAAAGAAAGAAAAAGTATCTCTATATACATGTTGTTGTGAACCCTGCAAGATTCTCTAAATTGTCA